CTGCGAGGAGACCGTCCAGGGGAAGTGCCCCGACCGCGGGTAGGGCTGGTGCCCGCTGTGGTTGGACACGGAGGAACAGTAACAGTTATCCACGGAGCAGACGAGGATTTTGCGCCCGCCGTACTGGGAGAGCACGGACTGCTGAGATGACGTGGTGTTGGGGTAGTGAGATGGGATGAAGACGGAGCCCGAGTGCACCGGCTGCGGGCCGCTGGGAAGTCCAACTATGTGCTGCGTGGAGCTACAAGGCACCATGGCTTGTGCGGACTGCCCCTCGCCAGCCGAAGCGCCCTGGCTCATGTACTGGCTCGCCACAGTCCCGGACGATGGCTCGAGGAAGCTGCCCTCGGGGAAGGCGGTGGAGTGCTTGCGCTTCTCCGCGCCGGAGTTGCTGACGGTGCAGGGGTACATGGGGATGCTCTGCAGGAAGGGGACGGGGGTGCTCAGAGGACCTGCAGAGGGGAACAGGAGAGGGGGACTACATCAAGCACGGCACGGCACAGCTCCGGGGTGCTCTGGCCGCGGGTCCAAACCTGCAGCAAAGCCCCGAGACCCGCGCTCCAGTCCTGCGCAAGCAGAGGGTGCCCCAGCCTGTCCCACCAGCGGCAAACTGGGCACACAGCCATATGCAGGTGAATTTGCAGGTCCCGTTTTGGGACCTTGCTGGCAGGCCTGGTGGCCCCAAGCGCTGCTCTGCAAATATGTGCGCGGGCTGAGTCTGTGCACAGCTTGTAACCACGGTCCGTAACAGGATCAGAACGGGACAGCCTGGGTGACAAACCCAAATCCCCAAGGAGAGAGGACTGGGAAGCCTCCGCAGGATGTGGTCTGCTCCCAGGCATGGGCTGGGGGCTGCGAGACCACACTGGCCCCTGGCTGTCCCTGCCCACACGCTGACCCCCATCTTTCCACTGACTTTTCCTGACGATGGCCAGCCCCCCAGCTGTGTCACCCCAAAACACAGCCGTTTCACAAGCCAAGGGAAATGTCCTGAGGAGAGCCAGGAGCTGGCTTCACGGCATCTTCATGCCCTGACCCCACTGACCGCAGAGGGGCTCCCAGGTGTCCCTGCACCCCAACAGCTGTCCCCACCCTCTTGTACTGGGATCCGCAGGGCACCCAGCTACAGATACAGGAGGTAGTGAGGTCCCGTGCCCCCCTCCCCCCTCCGACACCCCTCAGGCTTCACCCACCTTCCAGCAACTTCCTGAGCTGCTTCTCCTTCTTGGCGATCTCGTTCAGGAAGAGCTTGGAATTGAGGTGGCCGATTTTGGGTGGGGGCAGGCTGCCACCTGTACAGTTCTGGGTCCTGTTGCAGACCACGGGCAGAGAGGAGAGGCGTGAGGGACAAAGCACACTCAGGGGAGGGTCAGGAAGCCCCCACGCTCCTTCCCCTGCGCCCTCCCGGTGCCAAACTCCTTCCCCAGGGAGGCAGCACCGAGGGCAGTGTGGAGCTGGCCCTCTCCAATGGGCCAGTCCCTTCCCAGCAGGACCTTCCCCATTGACCTTCCCCATCCAGCCTTGCTGAGAACGTCCTGTGCCAACCACACCTCCCGCAGCCCCTGTATCCCCCCCCGCATCGCCACCCCAGCTCGCCCTGGCTCTGCTGGCACTGGCTTTAACTCCGGGCTCTTGGAGGGAAGAGGAGAACAGAGCTGGACTGAGCCCTGTGCCCCAACCTGGCTGGTCCCATCCCGGCTGGAGTGCTGGGTCCCAGCTCTGCTGTTCCACAAACACACCACTACGTTTCCCCTAGTCCACGGGGAAGATTTGATTCAGTACCCCCAGGAGGGGATTTTTCATCCTCCCAGACACAGAGGGACACTGAGGCACGGAGCACGCCTCTCTCAGGCCCTGCAGCATCCCTGGCCCTGCTCCTCCTCTGGACATTGTGCTGCTGCCACCCCCACGACAGCCCCCTTCCCCCCCCGCAACCCG